AATAGTTCTGGACAACAATAAAGAGTATTTGCAGCTCAACCTGGAGACCGGAGATCTGCTACTAAAAGAGAAACTGGACCGAGAGGAGGTATGCGGCCCCACCGAGCCCTGTGTCCTGTCTTTTCAGATCTTACTGGAAAATCCCTTGCAATTTCTCCAGTTTGAGCTGCAAGTGCAAGATATAAATGATCATTCACCTACGTTTCTGGACACTGAAATGCTCCTGAAAATATCAGAAAGCACAACGCCCGGGACTTCATTCCTCCTAGAAACTGCACAGGATTTAGACGTAGGGAGAAACGGCCTCCAAAACTATACAGTTAACCCCAACTCCCATTTCCACATTAAAATCCAAGAAAGCAGGGAGGGCACGAAATATCCAGAGCTTGTCCTGGATAGAGCACTGGATCGGGAGGAGAAGCCTGAGGTCATTTTAATCCTCACGGCATTGGATGGGGGATCTCCACCCAGGTCTGGCACTGCCCTGGTCCGGGTCCTAGTTATGGACATCAATGACAATGCCCCTGTGTTTTCTCAACCTCTTTATGAGGTTCAGATCCCTGAGAACAGCCCCATCGGCTCCCTGGTTGTCAGAGTCTCTGCTAGAGATTTAGACACAGGAAATAATGGAGAAATAACATTTACACTCTTCCATTCATCAGAAAGTATACGCAAAACTTTTCAAATCAATCCCACCACTGGGGACCTTCGTCTAGGGGCACAACTGGATTATGAGACAATTCAAGATTACACAGTGAGAATTCAAGCCACAGATGGAGGGGGGCTTTCCGAGGAATGTACCGTATTTGTCCAGGTGACCGATCTGAATGACAACCCCCCAGAACTGATCATGTCGTCATTAACCAGTCCCATTCCTGAGAATTCCCCTGACTCTGTTGTTGCCATTTTCAAGATCCGAGATCCAGACTCTGGAGATAATGGAAAGATGCTTTGTTTCATCCAGGATGATCTCCCTTTCATCTTGAAACCTTCTGTCAAGAACTTCTACACCTCTTAACAAAGGGAGCTCTGGACAGAGAGAACAGGTCCGAATACAACATCACCATTACTGTCACAGATTTAGGTTCCCCCAGGCTCAAAACTGAGTACAACATCACTGTAATGATCTCTGACATCAATGACAATCCTCCAGCATTTAGTCAGACGGCCTACACACTTTCCCTCAGGGAAAACAACAGCCCTGCCCTTCACATTGGCAGCGTCAGTGCCAGTGACAGGGACTCAGGGACCAATGCTAAAGTCACCTATTCACTGCAACCTCCAGAGCCTGGAGACCTGCCTCTCTTCTCCTACATTTCCATCAACTCAGACAATGGTCATCTCTATGCTTTGAGATCTTTGGATTATGAAGTCACCCAAACTTTGCAGTTCACTGTGAGGGCAGCTGATGGTGGTTCCCCAGCCCTGAGCAGCCAGGCTCTGGTTCAGATTGTGGTTCAGGATGAGAATGACAACTCTCCCTTTGTGCTGTACCCCCTGCAGAATGGTACAGCTCCCTGTAATGACCTGGTCCCCAGGGCAGCAGAACCAGGTTACCTGGTCACCAAGGTAGTTGCTGTGGATCAGGACTCTGGACAGAATTCCTGGCTTTCCTATCAACTGATAAAAGCCATGGACCCAGGGCTCTTCATTGTGTGGGCTCATAATGGGGAAGTGCGGACAGCAAGGCCCATCAGTGACAGAGATGCCATCAAGCAGAGGCTCGTGGTGCTAGTGAAGGACAAAGGACAGCCACCTCTATCCACAGAAGCCACACTGAACGTGCTTCTGGTGGATGGCTTCTCTGAGCCATATGTGAAGCTGCCAGATGAGCCCAACGATGAGCCACAGACTGATTCCCTCACAATCTATTTGGTCATTTCTCTAACTTCAGTCTCATTTCTCTTCTTAGTCTCTGTCATACTCTTCATCACTGTATGCCTGTGGAGGAGAAAAAGGGGAGCTATAGAGCGTGGAAACTTTGCCACTGGAGGCTCCTTTCCAGGACACTTGGTGAATGTCAGTGGCACTGGGACCCTGTCCCAGAGCAACCAGTATGAGGTGTGTCTGACCAGTGGCTCAGGGGGAGATGAGTTCAAGTTCTTGAAGCCTATTATTCCCAATCTCTCTGCTCCAACTACTCTGAAGGATCCTGAGGAAATCACACCTTTTCCTAATAGCATTGGGTTCAGTTAGAAATTGAAAAAGAATGTTTTCAAGGATTGATGTACTCATTGATTTTTTCAATACTCTTCATGTCTTATAAAAGAATTAAATTAATGAGTTTTTCCTTCTACATATTCTATTCAGTACAATATTGATTTGATTAATTAACTAAGTCTTTAACCATTTTATGCATGCCACTCCCTCATATACCCTCCCTTGTTTTTGAAATGGAATTTTACACTTTATGTTGGAGCTCAAAAGGACACTGATCAATTGATACTTGACATCTGCATTCTTGTAGCTTATCTTCACTTCCAATTCAAGACATCACCCTCCTGATGTCATTGGTCCTCTTCAAGAACGAAGGACAAACAACAATAGAATATCCCTTAGCTTTGAAGAACTGAGCCCCTTTAGTTTCTCTGTTCTGCTCTATATCATCTACTGTTTTCTATATCTTCCACAACAGCATGCTTTCTAGCCTTTTTAATGTTCAACACAATAAAAATGGTGTAAGTAAAGGCAATAAGCTTTTTCTGATAGCAGAATATGTCCTCTTGATTCTCTTGTGTAGTTGGTATTGTTGGGAATGTTTGGGTTTTTATCATTGTGATTCAACGTGTATCTACACTTCCCCCCCCCCAGATGTATTGTAATCACATGGATAAGGTTTTCTTATAATATTTTTTTTTGAGATTTCTCACTAGAAAGTTGTTGACAGAGTGAAGCATTTTTTTTCAGCAACAATGACTGAAGATCATTCTGAAGTGTTGTGGCTGAAAAATTTTAACATGTCCTTTAGCTTGAGAATGGATTCTAGACAGAGGGTCAATGGCCTAGGTGGAAAAAGGCAGAAGTAGGATTTGAATCTAGGTTTTCTGACTCCAAATCCATTAGGTGGTTCCACTATTCTATGATGATCCCCATCAAAGAAGTCAGAAATCCTTGGAATATTGACAAAACATTATTGAAAGGACAACAACTTTCTTCATTGCTTCATTATGATATTCCCAACTATAATCATGTGGGTTGGAAAATATGCATGATGAAAAGAATTTTATGTTACGGAAGAAATATTTTAAAGCCCATTAAAAAGAAATGTTATAGGACTTTGCCTACTTTTACAATAAAATCACTTTTAAGGAGTTTTGAGGAATTTATGATGTAAACCAAGGTTTAATGATGACAGGTTTTTTCCTATACAACTACAACAATCAATTAAACTAACATTTAATTTGAAATGCCCAGAACTCACATTTCAAATAATTGCAATTTCATATAAGTGAATTGAATTCTAAGGTTAGGACATCATATTCTCAAAATGATTCTTATTTTCTATATTTTTAACGTGGTGTTGAATGGACCAAGTTTACCTTGTGCTGAGATATTCATCTACCAATAGAGATAAGTGTAGCCAGAAAGAACAGGCCTCATGACCATAAACACCATTCTTCACACATTCATTCTTCATGAGTCCCTATCATGGATCACTTTGAATTGACTTTGTTGCTAAATTGCACCAATGAGGCAAAAGAATATCCATGAGTGACAAGCCTTTGTAAGCCTAGGATATTGGTAGGGGAAAGTGGAAGGAAATTGAAAAGGAAAAGAGCATAAGAAAAAAAAAAGAAAAAGAGGTAATGCAATGGGGGGGGAAGAGAAACTATAGAGATTCACAGGTTGTTTTCCTTTTTTACATCCCTCTTTTTCTGTGCTTTTGGTATGGGAATGTTTGTCTTTATCAAGTTTATAGTAAACAAAGCAGAAAATTAGAGAAAAGGAGAAAGTATAATGAAAGCAATGTTCATGTGAAGGATTGCTTCAAGCATCATTTGATTTTATCAATGGTGTTGTTTACCTACCCTAAATTATAAAGTTTTAAAAATATTATAGTATAGTCTATGAAAGCCAGTCTAGTCTCATGGATAGAGCAGACTTCCCAGTTAGAAAGACTGGAATTCAAGTCCCACCTCTGAGATATGCTACCAGCTAAGATTTCCTTTTTAAATTAAATTAATTTTTTTCAATGAAAAAAATTCTATTTTCTCTTCCTTCTAGAGAGAGAGGAGTTGGGGGGAGGGAGGGAGGGAGGAAGGGAGAGGGAGAAAACAAATCATCCCTGGCAACAAATACACAATCAAGGAAAATAGATTCCTATATTGGATGTGTGAAACAAATATGTTTCTCCTTCTGACCAGTGAGTCCATATCACCTCTCTGTCAAGAGATAAATAGCATTCATTTCCATAGGTCCTCTGGAATCATGGTTGTTCATTGTGTTGATCAGAGTTCTTTACTCTTCCAAAGTTGATTACTTTATAATGTTGTTGTTATATACAAATTGATCTCCTGGTTCTGCTAACTGGGTTCTGCATCAGTTCATAAAAGTTTTCCCCAGTTTCCTTTTTATTGCATCTTACAACTCTGTAGCATTCCACTTCCTAGTTGATGGACAATCCCTTCATATTCAGTTCTTTGCCACTATGAAAGAGTTACTATAAATATTTTTGTACATAGGGGTCTTTTCCCTTTTTCTTTGGTTTCTTCTAGTTATAGGGCTAACAGTAGTATCACTGAGTCATAGGGTTTCTGTAATTTAGTAAAATTTTGGGCATAGTTCAAAACTGCTTTCCAGAATGGCCGGACTAATTCACAACATTAATGTGCACTAATGTGCATGTTTTCATAAATCATACCCAACATTTGTATTTTTCTGTTTTTGGTCAACTTTGCCAAGCTAATGAGTTACTTTAATTTGTGTGTCTCCAATTATTAGTAATTATTTCATGCATTTTTTGTATTGGTAACTTGGATTTCTTCCTCTGAAATCTGCCTGGTTATATCCTTTATCAATTGAGAAAATGCTCTTATTCTTCTAAATTTGAATGGTTCCTACACAACTTGTAAATAAGACCCTTATAAAAGAAATTTGCAGGAAAAAATTTCCCCTCCCCCAGAAGAAACATAAATACTTCCAGAGATATTTACATGGTCACTTCATGACTAGATCCTGAAGACTTTATAATAATTTTAAAAGTCTAAGTACCTCTTTCATCTTTATAAATAAGCTTTAAAATAAAAATTAACTAGATATCTTTAATCATCTCATATGATCTCAGCATTTTAAAAAGTGCCTGTGGAAATAGACGTCTAGTAGGGCAAAAGATATAGATAAATCTGATTTACAGGATTCTTGTAACCTTCCTGGCATTTTCTTCAGTTCTCAACTGTTCCTTAGAACTATTTGAGATCATAACTTCTTTCTGAAGAAGATTCTGCTGGCCATAGTTTACTCATTTTGAGTAGTGTTGATGAAGCTATGAAAGTACTCTCCTTCCAAGTCCTTATCACTGTGTATGGATGGCCCTGGGTTTTTAAAGATCTTCTTGTCAGATTGCAAGCTTTGGCAGGTCCTGTGCAATTGAAAAAAAACAAAAGGTTAGGATATGGACTTATGCTTGATTGTAGGTCTGTCATCCAAGCAACAACCTAGCTAAGTTTATAGTTATCCACAGGTCGGCTGCAGTATTGTGACTTTTTCACCCATAGCTAGTGTCCTACACCAACTATAGAGCGTTATGATAAACGGATTTCTCGCATCTGAGAGATATAGATCCTTGACAGTTCTCAGGGCTTTTTCGAAACCCACAGATCCTAGAGCCAGAGTTCCAACTTCACTCTCTCTAAGGACACGCTCCCCATACGATGATAATGTTTTAATCAAGCTGACGAGATACAATAAGGAGATTTTTGTTGAGGTTGTGAAAGAAGCCGTTTAAGTCTTCGAAAGGACACGAGGTGGCGCTGCAGACTATGAAGAAGAAGAAAAAGAGGAGAAAAAAATTTCAGATGTCAGTTCTAATAGGCTGAAATTCAGGCAGTCACAGGGCATGCGTTGTTGACCAGAGCTAAGAGGAGGAGCGAGAAGCCGAAAGGCGTTATTCATCTTTACATTTCGGAGGCTTTAGACCGGCGGATTGCTATCGACGTAACCCTGAGGTGCTGTTGGAGGCCGACCTGGGCCCTACTTGCTGAAAAGAGGCCACCGAAAGAACAATGGAGCCCCGAGAGGAGTCAATTCCACTTCAAAGGCAAGTTCTCCTTCTTCTTGTTTTGCTCTGTGTGTATGTGTCGGCTTCCGAACCCGGGAGGTTTTCAGTGGCGGAGGAAATGGAGAGTAGATCTTCTGTAGGCAATGTGGCAAAGGCCCTGGGCTTGGAGGTTGGGGAACTATCTGCCAGGGGTGCTCGGATTACTTCCAAAGGCAAAAAACAGCACTTACAGCTCAACATTCAGACCGGGGATCTCCTTCTAAAGGAGAAACTTGACCGGGAGGAGCTGTGCGGCCCTGCGGATCCCTGTGTGCTGCCTTTCCAGATTTTACTGGAAAATCCCCTTCACATAATTCCTGCAGAACTGAGAGTGCTAGATATAAATGACCACGCGCCCATGTTCCCAGACAGTGAAATGCTCTTGAAAATCCGCGAGAATAGCCCACCGGAGTCTCTATTTTCTCTGAAAAACGCGATAGATTTGGATGTAGGTATCAACAATGTTCAGAACTACACAGTCAACCCCAGCTCCCATTTTCGTGTTCACACTAGAACCCGCAGTGACGGCAGGAAGTACCCAGAGCTGGTCTTGGACAAAACCCTGGATCGTGAGGAGCAGCCAGAGTTCGCTTTAACCCTCACAGCAGTGGATGGTGGGTCCCCGCCCAAGTCTGGGACAGCCCAAATCCGAGTCCTGGTTGTGGACATCAATGATAATACTCCTGTATTTGCTCAGCCCCAGTATGAGGTTCAGATTCCTGAGGACAGCCCCATCGATTCCCTGGTTGTCACTGTGTCTGCCAGAGACTTGGACATAGGAAGCAATGGTGAAATCTCGTATGCACTTATTCAGAGTTCGGAGGAGATTAGCCAAACGTTCAAAGTAAACCCCTTCTCGGGAGAAATTCGACTGAAAAAACAAGTGGATTTCGAGATGATTCAGTCATACGAGGTGGATATTGAGGCCACCGATGGTGGAGGCCTTTCTGGAAAATGCACTGTCCGAATCCATGTAATGGATTTAAATGACAATCCTCCAGAATTAGCCTTATCCTCTTTAAATAGCCCCATCCCCGAGGATTCTTTTCAGGTCGTCGTCGCTGTTTTCAGCATTTCAGACCGGGACTCAGGAGACAAAGGAAAGATGGTTTGCTCCATCCAAGATAATGTCCCCTTCATCCTAAAATCGTCTTTGGAGAACTTCTATACCCTGGTAACTGATGGGGTCCTGGACAGAGAGATCAGAGATGAGTACAACATCACCATTACTGTCACGGATTTGGGATCCCCCAGGCTTAAAACCGAGCAAAATATCACAGTGCTGATCTCCGACGTCAACGATAACTCTCCAGTGTTTACTCAGACAGCTTACACGCTCTATCTCCGGGAGAATAACAGCCCTGCCTTCTACATTGGCAGTGTCAGTGCCAGTGACAGGGACTGGGGTTCCAATGCTAAAGTCATCTACTCTTTGCTGCCTCCAAAGACTGGAGATCTGCCCCTCTTCTCCTACATCTCCATCAACTCAGACAATGGACATCTCTATGTTCTGAGATCCCTGGATTATGAAGTTATCCAAGCTTTCCAATTCACTGTGAGGGCAGCTGATGGTGGTTCCCCGTCTCTGAGCAGCCAGGCTCTAGTTCAGGTTTTGGTAGAAGATGAGAATGATAACTCTCCCTTTGTGCTGTACCCCCTGCAGAATGGCACAGCTCCCTGCAATGACCTGGTGCCCAGAGCAGCAGAGCCAGGTTATCTGGTGACCAAGGTGGTGGCTGTGGATAGGGACTGGGGACAGAATTCCTGGCTTTCCTATCAATTAACCAAGGCCACAAACCCAGGACTCTTCACTATGTGGGCTCACAATGGGGAAGTTCGAACAGCAAGGCCCATCAGTGATAGAGATGCCATCAAGCAGAGGCTCCTGGTGCTGGTGAAGGACAATGGGCAGCCACCTCTGTCCACAATGGCCACACTCAATGTGCTCCTGGTGGACGGATTCTCTGAGCCTTACTTGCAGCTCCCAGATGCACCCAAGGAGCAGGCCCAGACTGACTCCCTCACCATTTATTTGGTCATTTCTCTAGCTTCTGTCTCCTTCCTTTTTCTTGTTTCTGTGATTCTGTTCATTGCTGTGCACTTGTGGAAAAGGAAGAAGAATGCCACTGATGGCCTTCAGCTTAGGCCCAATAGTTCATTCCCAGGCCACTTTGTGAATGTTGGGGGTACTGGGACCCTGTCCCAGAGCTACCACTATGAGGTGTGTCTGACCAATGATTCTGGCACTGGTGAATTTAAGTTCTTAAAGCCGATTATTCCCAGCCTCCCCACTCAGGATAGTGGAAGAGACTTGGAAGAAAGCCCTCCTTTACAGGAGAGCTTTTGGCTGGGTTAAGATTCTGCCAAACTGAGATTTTCATTATATATTATTTTATTATATTATTATATTATATATTCATTTTGTAAACCCTTTTCTATTGTGTTTCTTCAACTAGCTAATTAAATGTATCTTTAAACTCATTTGATCTTTACCTAATTTGGGAATGGAGCTCTTTCCTACTTGTCCTAGCTCTTATTCCAGTGCTACAAAGCACATTGCTGTCCCCAATCTTGTTTTAAGGAAGAATTAGTTTATAAATTGAATTTGTATTATACTATAGTGTATCTTTTCTGCATGTGATTAATTACTTTTTAACACATAGAGAAAAATTGAAAAATGAATTTTTTTCACTCCCAAATGTTTGAAAAAATATTTAATTTTCTTCAAAAAGCTACATATATTTGAGTGTGGCTATTATGCACAGAAGGTTCCCAAACGTTTCCTTTACAAGAAAAATTAATTAGAGGTATAATAAGTTAAAGGACACTTGCCCAAAGCCTTGTTTTAGTATCTTTGAACCCAAATAATAGAGTTTTTGAATGCTATATTTCTCTTTTGAGTGAGGGCTATATCCAGATATGAAAATTGAAGTGACAGTCCCAGATAATCAGTAAATTTTTGTCAATAAACTACTGGCAATTGAGAAATCAACATATCTTTATGTCATCAGAGTCAGGTTACAGGGTAAGAGTCAGTCTTCACTTCATCTTGTTTGTGAAAATGTGTTTTTTTTAAAATTTCTCTCACAATAATCTCTGTACTTTTTTTTAAATCGTATTTTAACATTTCCTTTTCCTTATTCTTGTCTCCTAGTATGGAAGTATTTCTGAACATTTCGTGTTTTAAAAATACCTATCAACAAATGTGTACAATTAATATAGATGCAACATAGATGTAAATTTTTATTTAGTCCACAGTACTGCTAAACCCACATTGTGGAAATTTAATAAATATTTATGAAGCTGGACTTTGCTAGGCCCTTATTGGCACAAGATGTGTCCTAATCTGAGCACTTTAACATGTCTATTTCAGCCATATTTTTGATTGACTGATGATTACCCAGTTCAACCTGACAGTGTTCCAGAGTGTCATTTAATAGAGCTCCAGTTCCAATGTCCCTAATTTAGAAAATGTTTTAATGTTCACAATCAGTTTTATATAATCTTAACAATAACCTTTATGGATGTATTTTCTAGTATAGGTATCACTTTTTTATTGAAATTTATTTCAATTTGAATTTATTTTACAGTATAAATTCCATGTGTGCTCCAAACAGATCGCTTTTCCTTTATTGTTTTGGGTGTACATTGTAATTATGCTTGGCAATTTAAATTAAAAGCTAAGAAATATGACCAGACCAATAAAGTGGAAGTCTGGATGAACTTGGGAAAATGAAAGCCAGTTTGCTTAATTTCCATTAAATAAATGAATTCAGATTTAATTAACTAAAATAATTAGTGTTGTCTGAATAAAAATTTCATCTTCACTGTTCAATCAGGCATCATGCAGATATTTTCTCTATCTGTGCTTTACTGATCCGTATCAGCTATTCATTTTGTGAAAATTTACCCTGAAAATGTTCAGCTCTCCACTTTACATTTATCCTTTTCTATGTAAATGAATAGTATAGTTTCCCTTGCTGTCTGGGTGGATTGTTCTCAATAATAAGCTGAGAAATATTAGAAGGTAAATTTGATGAAATAGATTTATGAAATAAAAAGATACTATGAAGCTCAAGAAATGAATAAAAATCTGAAGTGATTATCTGAATAAATAAAAGCTTGGCTTGACTAAAATGCATATTGTTTTAATTACATCTCCATTCTTTTTTTTTTAACCCAATATGAGCCCTTTAATATTCTGATGTGTTGTTGGGTAAGTCATTTCCCCTGTCTTAGCCTCAATTTTACCATTTGTAAAATGAAGAATTATATCTCAATAAAGTTCCATGCAACCCTAATATTTTGTGATTCTATGATGATTCAATCAATTTTATTAAGATACATTGGGCTAGAATTCAAGAATTTACGTGTCTTTCAACAAATCAAGTTACAAGCAAAATACCACCTATGCTATTCATGGAACATAAAGAAAGCTAAATAAACAGGGATGATTGACTGAAAATACAGCCTTACTGCAGACCATGTTATCCAGAAGTTTTCACAAAATCTTTGCTTCCTGCAAAGTCAGAAATGATAGCATCCAATGAAAATATTTTTATATTGAAGCAAAAGTGTTAACTACCTGTTTAAGTTATGGCTGGTTCAAACTGGAAACCCCTTGTATCTGTGAACAACCTCATTGACAAAGTGAATTATGTTCTCTCTATCCATAATTGAAAAGTATGTGGGGAAGACAACATGACTTCTTTGGTTTTCACAAGCACCATAACTAAAGTGGATTAATAGGCAACTAATTGAGGCATAGATAGAGTACGGGACTTGTAGTCAGGAAGAAGTGAGTTTGAATCCTACTTAAGAAGCTTACTATTGTGTGACCCTTAACAAGTCACTTAAACTTTCTATGCCTCAGTGTCCTCATCTTTAAAATGGAACTAATAATAGCATCTACTTCACAGGGTTATGAAGATTAACTGAGTAAAAATATGTAAAAAACGCTTTGCAGACCCTAGAGCTCTACACAAATGTTAGCTATTACTGTTACTATTTTGCCTGAAAGGGTATATATTTTCCTATTGAAATGGATTTGAAGAGTAATTTGTCAATAACGACACGTGGTGGCGCTGTAGACTAAGAAGGCTTATAAAATATCGCAGATCTTGCAGACTGCCTTGCTCAGAGAAAACAGAATACAAAAGACACTGACGGGAAGGGAACGTTTTCCAAGCCATAACTGAGACTAAAGAAATACATGTAGTTGCTATCTGCGAGCACAAATAAATTCATCACAATCCCTTGGACCAAGAAGCCAGGTTGGATTGTACCAGCGATTTCTCTACTAAGAGGCTTGCGTATTGTATGCCCCACCGCAACAATGGAGACTGCGCCACGGAAAGCTGGACCGAACAGGCAAGTGGCATTTCTTACTGTTGCTTTACTCTTGTCTGAGGCGGTTTCAGAACCCCAGCAGTACTCAGTGGCAGAGGAAACTGAGAATGGTTCCTTTGTGGCTAATGTTGCAAAGACCCTGGGGCTAGAGGTAGGGGAGTTGTCATCCCGAGGGGCCCGGGTGATCTCTGAGGATAAAAAGCAGTATTTGCAGCTTAATCGCGACACTGGGGATCTTCTCATAAAAGAGAAGCTGGACCGGGAGGAGCTGTGTGGCCCTGCCGAGCCCTGCGTGCTGCCTTTCCAGATCTTACTGGAAAACCCTTTTCAGGTTTTCCGGGCTGAGCTGAGGGTAGAAGACATAAATGACCATTCGCCCACCTTCCCGGAATCTGAGATGATTCTGAAAATATTAGAAAGCACTACGCCAGGTACTGTGTTTCCACTAAAGATTGCCCAGGATTTAGACGTTGGAATAAACAGTCTCCAGAATTATTCCATCAGGCCCAACCCCCATTTCTTCGTCCGCACTCGCGCACGCAGCGATGGAAGAAAGTTCCCAGAGCTGGTGTTGAATAAAGTGCTGGATAGGGAGGAGCAACCTGAGCTCGCTTTAACTCTCACAGCGGTAGATGGGGGGATTCCACCCAGATCCGGAACAGCTCAAGTCCACATCCTGGTTATGGATATCAATGACAATGCCCCTATCTTTGCTCACACCCGGTATGAGGTTCAAATCCCAGAGAACAGGCCCATTGGCTCTCTAGTAGTGACTGTCTCTGCTCGAGATTTAGACACTGGAATCAATGGGGATATAGCTTATGCCTTATTCCAAGCTTCGGATGAAGTCAGTCAAATATTTGGAGTAGATCCCATTTCCGGAGAGATTCGACTCAAAAAACAACTGGATTATGAGGCAATTCAAAAATATGAGGTGGATATTGAAGCAACCGATGGCGGGGGCCTTTCTGGCAAAAGCACTGTTGCGGTTCAAGTAATGGATCTGAACGACAATTCCCCAGAGATGATTGTATCGTCACTTACCAGCAATATCCCAGAGAACTCCCCAGAGACTGTGGTGGCTGTTTTCAACGTCCGAGATCGCGACTCCGGGGACAACGGAAGAATGATGTGTTCTATCCAGGAAGATCTCCCTTTCTCCCTGAAACCAACTTTCAAGAACTTTTATACACTGGTCACAGAGGGAGCCCTGGACAGAGAAAGGAGGACTCAGTATAACATCACTGTTACTGTCACGGATTTAGGGTCCCCGAGGCTCAAAACCGAGCACAACATCACGGTATTCATCACTGACGTCAATGACAATCCACCAGTATTTACTCAGACAACCTATGCACTCTACGTCAGAGAGAATAACAGCCCTGCCCTCCATATTGGTAGCGTCAGTGCAGAGGACAAGGATGAAGGAACCAATGCTAAAGTCACCTACTCCCTGCTGTCTCCTGAGACTGAAGATTTACACCTCTTCTCTTATATCTCCATCAATTCCGACAATGGACATCTCTATGCTCTAAGATCCCTGGATTATGAAACCATGCAAGCCTTCCAGTTCACTGTGAGAGCTGCTGATGGGGGCTCTCCAGCCCTGAGCAGCCAGGCTCTGGTTCAGGTTGTGGTCCTGGATGAAAATGACAACTCTCCCTTTGTACTATATCCTCTGCAGAATGGCACAGCTCCTTGCAATGACCAGGTGCCCAGAGCTGCAGAGCCAGGTTACCTGGTGACCAAGGTGGTGGCTATAGATAGGGACTCAGGACAAAATTCCTGGCTTTCCTACCAGCTACTTAAAGCCACAGACCCAGGACTATTCACTGTGTGGGCTCATAATGGGGAAGTTCGCACAGCAAGAACCATCAGCGACAGAGACACCATCAAGCAGAGGCTTCTGGTTCTGGTGAAGGACAATGGGAAGCCACCTTTGTCCACAGCAGTCACTCTGAATGTATTCCTGGTAGATGGATTCTCTGAGCCACATGTACAGCTCCCAGACACAAAGAAGGAGCAAGTCCAGAATGACTCCCTCACTGTTTACTTGGTCATTTCTCTCATTTCAGTCTCATTCCTCTTCCTGGTCTCTGCCTTCCTTTTCATAGCTGTACGTCTATGGAAGAAGAAAAGAAGTGCTGCAAATGAAGTTTGCTTGGGGACCAGTGGCCCTTATTCAGGCCACTTAATGGATGTCAGTGGCACAGGGACTCTTTCCCAGAGTCACCAGTATGAAGTGTGTCTGACCAGTGGCTCAGGGAATGGAGAATTCAAATTCCTGAAACCCATTATTCCCAGCCTCCAAGCTCAGAATACTAGGACAGACTTAGAAGAAAACCCACCATTTAAGAGTAGCTGTGGCTTCAATTAGAGGTATGAAGTGATGACAATGTATGTGTGATTCTGTCATATTTGCTATGGACATTGCCCCAGTAGATCTTTATTGCTTGAATTATTAGAGAGTTACTGTATATACTACTCTTTGAAAGTTTTTTGATTTCTGCAAGTTGGACATTCCAGTCATCTGGATACTCATGTATTGCCTTCATTTACATTATCTTTATTTTGAAATCTGAGGACAGAATTTTGTTCGGCTTTTGAGTAGCAGCTCACATTTAGGCCCTAACCCCACCCTCTGAGCCCATAAGAACACGCTTTGTGTTGTAACTTCTATCTGCCTACCACTAACCTTTGCGGAAACAATGAAGATGAGTAAAATGTGGATGCTACATGCTCTTAAGTTATCACGGATTTAGCCAATCTTTGTTATCATTTGTACTTCACAGTTGCTTATTCTCTTCCCATATTAATACAAGCAATGCAGTGCTTTGCTCTACAGAGTGGTTGTTTTTTTTCCTGCAAAAGGTGGTAATTATTCTAAGGCTTAGAAGTTTCTCTTGGTAAATACCTTTTATTATTATTTTTTGGCAATTGGGGTTAAATGACTTGCCCAGGGTCACTAGTAAGTGTCAAGTGTCTGGTCTGAGGCAGGACTTGAACTCAGGTCCTCCTGATTTCAGGGTCGGTGCTCTATCCACTTTGCCACCTAGCTGCCCCCAAATGCCTTCTTCAACTCCATGTCCACTTCCATGTGACTTGTTAGAAATAAAATGATCATATGCTTTCTTGAAAATTAACCTCATATACCAACTGAAATAATTTTTATACAACAAACATAAACATACTTAAGGAACCCAGACAATTTTCATCAAATGCAATTTTAAAGAGGATTTCTATGTGGTTAGCTCATACCCAACAAATAATTGGAGCATCCATGAGAAGTCCTTAAAGGTACACTTGTTTCATATTTTTTATTTTTAATTTGTGCTTTTTGGACTTTATATTATGTTTATTTGTTAATATTATTTCCCCTTGCCCAAAGAACTATCCTTTATAACGAACAAAAACAGTTGATCAAAACAATCAAAATTATCTCATTAGATTGAGAGTGCTAGGTTCTGCACCTTAACTCACCACCTCTCTACTGAGAGAGGAAAGTTGTGTTCATCTTGTACTCTAGAGCCAAGGTTGGTTGTTGCATTTAACTTAATTCTAATGTTTTTTGTGTTGTTTTCATTTAAGTTCTTATATTCCCTATTTATATTATTGCCATGATTCTCTTTCCTTTGCCTCAGTTCATACTTGTCTTCACATGTTTCTAATTTGCAACTATCCATTGTTTCTTATAGCTTAATACTATTCAATTACATTTATATACCATAATTGTTCATCTATTCTGTAGTCAATGAACACTTTTATGCAAAAACAAGTTTTTGCTACAGCAAAGTCTGCTTTGCTATGAATATTTTGGCATATATGAGACCTTTGTTTAGATTAGATCCCAATTTCACATATAGAAATAAACAGATGTCTTTGATTATCTCCAGTTCACAGACTGTATTAACAAAGTGATAGGGAAAGTGTGAATTGGTTTGATTCAAAAGAAATAAATGTAAATTCTGAATCCTCATGTTCTTCACTACTTTCAAGAATATTTCAATGCCACTGGACAACTTTCTTAAACTAGAATTTAGTAGTAAATTAACCCACCACCCCCCTTGCCATAATACAACATAAAACAGTTCTGGACCCAAATGTACTCCGAGACACTGACCTAGAGTTTAAATACTTTGTCCCCCTTGAACCTATGTGCACTTGCAAATATCTCTTCCTTGTTGTGAAAGTGTTTAAAATGATTATATTATGTTCTTACTCCACCACTACACTTCTTCCTTGTTCTTTGCCTCTTTCCCTCCTCCCTCCCTCCCTCCCTCCCTCTCTCTCTCTCTCTCTCTCTCTCTCTCTCTCTCTCTCTCTCTCTCTCTCTCCCCCCTTTTCTCCCTCTCCTCCCTCCCTCCCTACCTCCTTCCCATTCTCAACCAGGAGATACACAATGTGGGTGACTCATGTGTTTTATCATTTCACCACACCAATCTATAGAGTTTTTTCCAACTCCAGTATACCGCAAGAGAATGGAGTTTCATATCTTGAATAACAAAGCACTCTGTAGACATTGGATAATAATGGTTGCAGCAATCAGATGTTTGACGTACTTTGCAGAACAGAGCAAAATATAAAAACATCAGTTTTAACTTTTAGTAGCGACACTTGGTGGCGCTGCAGGCTAAGGTGGGGGAGACACTATGTCTCTGCAGACCGGTTTCTTAGAAACTGTGAAACAGACTAGAAGACTGGGACAAAGGCAGAGGAAGGGACATTATTAGCTGGAGCTGGGAAAGGATACAAGCCTGGGCCCTGTGCTGCTCACCAACGGTTTAGAACCTGTCAAATAACTGTGACTCACAGAATCAGGATCTAATTTGAGGCTCAGCTGGGCAATTCAAGCTGAAAAGGAGGCAGCCAAAGGAACAATGGAGCCCGAAAGAAAAGCAATTCTACCGCAAAGGCAAGTCCTGTTTCTTGTTTTTTTGCTGTGGGTGTCTGAGGCCAGCTGCGAGCTGGGGAGGTTTTTGGTGGCGGAGGAGACTGAGATCGGCTTCTTTGTGACAAATGTAGCAACGGCCTTGGAGTTAAAGTTAGGGGATCTATCAGCCAGAGGGGCCCGAATCGCTTCCAAAGGAAATAAGCAGTTTTTGCAGCTCAACGGTGAGACCGGAGATTTGGTCCTAAAAGAGAAACTGGACCGGGAGGAGCTGTGCGGCTCCGTGGAACCCTGTCTGCTGCCTTTCCAGATCTTACTAGAAAACCCTTTAAAGATATTTCGGGCTGAGCTTCGGGTGAGAGACATTAATGATCATTCGCCCGTGTTCCTAGAATCAGAGATGCTTCTGAAAATCCCGGAAAATAGTATTCCCGGTACTGTTTTGTCTCTGAAAAACGCCGAAGATTTGGATGTAGGAAGTAACGCTGTGCAGAACTATACCATCAGCCCCAATTCCCATTTCTATGTTCAAACTCACAGCCGCAGTGAAGGCAGGAAATTCCCAGAGCTGGTGTTGATCAAAGCTCTGGATCGTGAGGAGCAGTCGGAACTTACACTAACCCTCATGGCCATAGATGGTGGGTCCCCGCCCAGGTCTGGGACGGTTCGCGTCCGCATAGCGGTTTTGGACGTTAATGATAATGCTCCTGTATTTACTCAACCTAGATATGAGGTTCGGATCCCTGAAAACAATTCCATTGGCTCCCTGGTCGTCACCGTCTCTGCTAGAGACTCAGACGCTGGAAATTACGGAGAAATATTGTATTCGCTTTTTCATAGTTCTGAGGAAATTATGAAAACTTTTGTAATAAATTCCATCTCAGGAGATGTTCGACTCGGAAAAAAGCTAGATTTTGAGACAATTCAACGGTATGAGGTAGATATCGAAGGAACTGATGGCGGTGGCCTTTCCGGGAAATGTACTCTAATTGTTCAGGTGATAGATCTGAACGACAATGCCCCTGAACTGACGATATCGTCACTTAACAGCGCCATCCCAGAGAATGTGCCCCAGTCTGTGGTGGCTGTTTTCAGTATTTCAGATTTGGACTCAGGAGAAAACGGAAGGCTGGTTTGCTCCATTCAAGAAGATATCCCTTTTACTCTACAACCATCCATAGAAAATTTTTATACCTTGGTAACAGAAGGAGCGCTGGACAGAGAGAGTAAGGCCCAGTATAATGTTACAATTACTGTCACGGATTTGGGGTTCCCAAGGCTCAAAACTATGCACAACATCACGGTGTTCATCTCTGACATCAATGACAACCCACCAGTATTTACTCAGACAGCATATACACTCTACCTCAGGGAGAACAACAGTCCTGCCTTCCACCTTGGCAGTGTTAGTGCCAATGATAGGGACTCAGGGACCAATGCCAAAGTCACCTATTCACTGCAGCCTCCAGGGCCTGAAAATTTATCCCTCTTTTCCTATGTCTCCATCAATTCAGACAACGGACATCTCTATGCTCTGAGAGCCCTGGATTATGAAGCCATCCAAACTTTCCAGTTCACTGTGAGGGCGACTGATGGAGGCTCCCCAGCCCTCAGCAGCCAGGTTCTTGTTCAAGTCATTGTCCTAGATGAAAATGACAACTCCCCTTTTGTGCTGTATCCTTTGCAAAATGGGACAACTCCCTGCTATGACTTGGTGCCCAGGGCAGCACAGCCAGGTTACCTGGTGACCAAGGTGGTGGCTGTGGATGGAGACTCAGGGCAAAATTCCTGGCTTTCCTACCAACTGCTAAAAGCCACAGACCCAGGGCTCTTCACTGTGTGGGCCCATAATGGGGAAGTACAAACAGCAAGGCCCATCAGTGACAGAGATGCCATCAAGCAGAGTCTCTTGGTGTTGGTGAAGGACAATGGGCAGCCACCTTTGTCCACAGCAGCCACACTGAACGTGCTCTTGGTGGATGGATTCTCTGAACCATATATAAAGCTCCAAGAATCTACCAATGAGCTGGTCCAGACTGATTCTCTCACTCTCTCCTTGGTAATTTCTTTGGCTTCTGTCTCTTTTCTTTTCTTATTCTCCATCATTGTGTTCACTGTACTACATCTATGGAGGAAGAAAAGAAAAGCTTCAGACAGCAGCCACTTTGTGCCCAGTGGTCCCTTCCTAGGCCATTTACTGGGTGTCAGTGGCACTGGGACTCTGTCCCACAGCTACCAGTATGAGGCATGTCTGACCAGTGGTTCTGGGACTAGTGAATTTAAGTTCTTGAAGCCAATTATCCCCAGTGTCCCTGCTCACAGTGATAGCAAGGATTCAGAGGAAATTACTACCTTTCAGAATAGCTTAGGCTTAAGTTAGAGATGATTTCTCCTGCCCCCCCCAATAATTCTATGAAGAGCAATTCTTTTTCTCTGCTTCTGAATGAAACTTTAAATAATTTTAAGGATTTGTTCTTTATGTGTTTTCCAAATTTTAGGTGTTCTTTTCCACTTTTGTATAATAAAAATTGAGCATGTCTTTCAGAACATGTCCTTCCACGGCATTACTTGTAAAGGATTTTGTGTGTAATATTCCTTAAAATCTACTTCTCCTGTGTATAACCAAATTCATCCTCAAACAAAGTACATTTCAACTATCAGTGAGCATGTATGAGGCTACAGTTTCTTTCTAAGCCTTTTTACTCACCTTTAAATGAGTTCAGTTACACACAGCTTATGTATTTTAAAAATCTCCTGAGTTTTCTCTTGGCTATTTCTATTTCCAGTAATTGCTATGAAATAGACTATATTTCCAGGCCCAATTTTAGTTACTATGTAAGGCCATTATTTTCTCTTGTTGTATTATGCATTCTGATGTAGCAGATGCCCAGTAGGTTGAGGATTTTTTCTCCTTTTTTGTTAGGATTTGTTAAGTCATTTTCTTCTCAAATGTAATATTTTCATCTGATTCTATGAAGATATACTGCATTCACCAAGTGAGAAAATATATGTGAACCACATCTCCTTTCCTCTCAATCTACCATTGAAAGAACCATATACTGGAAGGGTGACTATAGCTATCTTTATGAAACCAGAGGAGAGTGCCCTCAGCTAATTTCAACAGCACACGTACTTTATAAACTATTTCCTGTCCCTCTGAAGTTCTTGATAATTGATTCAATTTTCCTTTGCAAGTGTAACTGTGGCAAGACTCTTCTACTGAGACAAGTGATGATGCCACAAGCAGATAAAGAATATCACAATTATGTCTGTGGAGTAGCGGGGTAGTTTTGTAGGAGAGAATGAAAGGGAAGAGTGTTGGAGTATTCCATGAATGGTTGTTTTCCTTTTCATTTGATGTTGTTTTTCATTACTTCTCTACTCTTAGAAAATATTTTATGCCTATCTAAAACACTGTGTGCTTGAATTTGTTTACATGTCCCGAAACACACATGAGAGAACATTCATTTTGCAAGAATCAATAGGTTTTAACCATTTTTACCGGACTGAGCAATCCTTGTGTTATTTGATTGAGACGCTTGGCGGCGCTGTCGACCAGGAAAGAGACGAAAGGAAAATCCCAGAGCAAAACGTTCAGTAGCATTAGCGTCATTCCTTGTTGAAAAGCAGCCGGGTCTGCAGCACATTTTCAGGCTCTGCCTAAATCCTGAACTCTGCCATTGCAAACGTTGTCGTAGCTGGAATCTGAGCAGTGGAGTCCTGTGCCCATCCCGCAGTATTTGCTGACTTGGAGCCACCACAGCAGCACCGCTGTGTTTAGTCCCCAGTTGATGCGGAGAGACCGTGATGGCGCCAGCACCGCGGGAAACGATCAGGCAAGTTCTCTTTGTCTATATTTTTCTTTATGGGGGGTTCCGCGTGGCGTGTGAAACCATTCGCTATTCTATAGCTGAAGAAATAGCGATTGGCTCCTTCGTGGCTAATTTTGCAAAGGACCTGGGGCTGAATGTGAAAGAGCTGCGCTCTCGGCAAGCTCGGCTCGTTGAGGACGGTAATGGGGAGCATTTCTTATTGGACCTGAGAACAGGGGAACTGGTCACAAAGGACAGAATAGACCGGGAAGAAATATGCGCCCAGATGGACGAGTGCATCGTCCGTTTTGAATTACTGCTGCAAAATCCATTGAGGTTCTTCCGGGCTGAGGTGGTCATTTCTGATATCAACGATCACTCACCTGAGTTCCCAGAGGATGAATTCATTTTAAAGATCCCTGAATTGACTACCATTGGAACTCGCTTCCCCCTGGAAAGTGCCCAGGATTTAGATACAGGGAAAAATACCCTCCAGAACTACACGCTCATTCCAATAAGTGAGCTCTTTGTTTTGCAAACCCGGGAGGGCAGCGATGGCAGCAAGTACCCGGAGCTGCTCCTGGCAAAGGCCCTGGACCGCGAGGAGCATCCAGAACTCGAGTTCGTACTCACGGCAGTGGATGGAGGAATCCCGCCCAGCTCGGGAACCGCCAAGATCCGTATCGTTGTTCTGGATGCAAATGACAATGCCCCAGTGTTCTCGCAGTCTCTGTACCGAGCTACTGTTGCAGAAAACAGTCCAGTAGGCTTTGTAGTGACTATTGTATCTGCAGCTGACTCAGACCAAGGTAGTAATGGAGAAGTGACTTACTCATTCAGTCAAAATGCCGGCAAAGGTCATCGTGCTTTCCAGATTGACCCTCTGACAGGGGAAATTCGCATCTCCAAATTTCTGGACTTTGAAATGATTGAGAAATATGAACTGAGTGTTCGGGCCACTGACGGAGGGGGGCTATCCTCGCACTGTAAAGTCCTCGTGGAGGTGGTGGATGTGAATGACAACCCTCCTGAAGTGACAGTGACATCTCTTTCCACTCTACTCCCTGAAGACTCTTTATCTGGAACAGTGGTGGCCCTTTTCAGCATCCGGGACCGGGACTCTGGGGACCATGGGAGAGCATCTTGCTCCATTCCGGATGACATCCCCTTCATCCTGAAACCGACTTTCAGCAATTACTATGAGCTAGTGACAGATACAGCCTTGGATCGGGAAAGGGTTTCCAGCTATAACATAACGATCACTGCTGTAGACTGGGGGTCTCCTAGTCTTTCAGCTTGGGAGAGTGTCACGGTGCAAATATTAGATATCAATGATAACCTTCCTCTCTTCAACCAATCGTCCTACACTATGTATGTAACTGAAAATAACAGACCTTCCCTGATGATTGGAGGCGTAAATGCTACTGATTCAGACTCGGGGCAGAATGCTAAAGTGACATATTCTATCTGGTCTGAGAACAAACATTCTCCCTTTTCATCCCCATTCATTTCCATCAATTCAGAAAATGGACAGGTCTACATTCTGAAGACTCTTGATTATGAGGAAATTAAAGACTTCAAAGTGACCGTGCAAGCATCAGATTCAGGGTCCCCTTCCTTAAGCACTAATGTCACAGTATATGTAGTCATTGTGGATGAAAATGACAATGCTCCAGTTATTTTATATCCTATGCAGAACCACTCTTCTTCCTACAGTGAACTGATCCCCAGGACGGCTGAAGAAGGTTACTTGGTTACTAAAGTTGTTGCTGTGGATGAAGACTCAGGTCAGAATTCCTGGCTTTCCTACCAATTGCTCAAGGCCACAGACCCTGGACTGTTCATTGTATGGTCCCATAATGGAGAAGTTCGAACTTCGAGGACCATCAGCGACAGAGATGCTATCAAGCAGAAACTCATTATCCTTGTAAGAGACAATGGTGTCCCAATACTCTCTACTCCTGCAACTCTAGACCTTCTTCTAGTAGATGGCTTTTCAGAAGCCCATATGCATGTCCCAGATTCCACTGAAGAAGAGAAACAAGATAGCACATTAACTGTGTATTTGATTATTTCACTGGCTTTAATTTCCTTTCTTTTTCTAGTTTCTATCATAATCTTCATAATTATCAAGGTATATAAGAGGAAACAGCTGAAGGAGAGATCCCATTGTGCTGGCCATTTTGATGATGTCAGTAATTTCCCAAAAAATTTAGTGGATGTTACTGGCACAGGGAATCTCTTTCAGACATACAAATATGACATGTGTTTAACAGATGGCTCTGGTAATAGTGAATTCAAAATCCTCAAGCCTGTTATCCCCAGCCTCCCACCTCAGCTGGAGAACAGTGAAATATTCCCTGAAGGGAATTAAAGCTTTTCCCAAGATTGATGCAGAGGAGAAAGGAAAATAATGAGACTTTGATCTTGCTTTATGTGTTTTCCAGAGTAAGATAGGGAGAGGATTGTATGAAGATTTCCATATAGTATAAGCTTGACCCTATGTAGTCTTTATATCATTGCTATAATTACTATTGATTATGGGTCCTCTTTTTTGAAAGCATGTTTTACCCTTTGTAGAGCTATTTCTTAACTGTGTAATTTTAAAAATTTCTTTTAGAAACTACCATACATAATGGGCAACTTTTGGAAGTACAATGTATGATCATCTCTAGCTCTTGGGCAAGCAATGATTATTTATATGCTTTAACATTAGTGTAGTACACAGAATGCCTAGAATAAATCACAGAAAGATTTTGCATTTAGAAAGGAAAAAAAGAAATGATGAAAATAAAAGTTTTTGTAATACCACAATGCTTCTTTTGAACTGTCTAGACTAATTGTCTTACATGTTACATCCCTGAAGAGTTGGAAGATGTTTGAGGGAATGGTTATGGTTTTTAAATACTGATGTGTTCTATTAAAGATTTTATTTCCAATATGCTACATTGGTTCTTATACATTATAAATTTAATTTATAGAGAAAATTTTGGAAGGCTCTTCAAATAAGAAGTGAAGGCTCATGCATAACACAAATTCCTACTAGTGATATTAAGAATAATAATATCCATGAGATAGCAATACTGTTTCTACCGACCTCAAATTCTCCAACACTAGAGCAATGTTCAATTCTTCTCCCTTTCATTCCACACCATTACTGTGTGCTAGTTATTTTCTTCTGCAAAATTTTTGTGAGTTGTTTCTTCTCCAGTCCCATAGACATAACCAACTGCATCATGTCTAGTCTGCTACAAGATCTCCTAATTGGACTTCTAGAAGGAAAACAGCAAAACTAATTTGCTGATGCATGTCTAAATGATGAATCCATACACAATAGAACCTAATCATCTATCAACACACATTTTAGGCCCCTATTCATTACATTATCCTGTGCTTGCCACTAAGGAAGACACAAGGATAAATATGATAAAATCTCTATCTTTAAGTGACTGACAGTCTAGCCAGGGAAAGATAACACACATATGACTGTATTAAAAAAAAATACAATCAGTTTCATAAGATCAAAGTTGCAAAGCTGGAAGGGACCATGTACATAATTTTGTCCAACTTCCTTATTTTACAAATGAGGAAACTAAAGCTCAGAGAGGTAAAGTGACTTTCTCAAAGTCATTCAGGTTGTAAGTAATAGAGCCACACAAAAATAAAATGGTAAATTCATAAGAAAAGTAAAAAAGAGTTGTGAGATCAAATTAGGGGATGACCCTGAAGAACTAACTGTATTGGCAAACTGAATATATCAGTTTAGCTGATTTGATCTTGTTTTTATCATGACATGCAGAGTCAGCAAAGCATTTTTAAGAATAGTTGTTACAGATTTCCATTAACCAGTGTCTAGGATTTTATTATGCACATAGTAGATACCTATTAGATGTTTGTTAACTTTAATTGTCATGAGCTTTGACATGAGAATCTGACTTTACTCCCCTTCTTACACACACCTTAGTTCATATTCCTCATCACTTGTTACCCCACTCCTCCCATATGTAAGCCATTACATCACTATTGTGCAATATTATTATTTATTATCTTTGTCAAATCATAGCTTTTCCTTTCTACAAACTCTGAGGCCTTTATTGCTCAACCTACACCTTGTTCCATTTCCTCCAGCAATCTCCAAGGACCAAGTCAGGAAGGTCATTGCATGTATAAAGGGGTTGGAGTGAGAAAGACAGGCTGGAAATGGAGAATGTATATCAGTGTTACCTTAAAATCAGATCCAGTATCTGCAGCATTAGGCAAAGGAATAGTTCATCCCTTCCAGACTAGCAAGGTTCTGATTGTCTTACTTTGCATTTGACCCATCTGCTCCACCTGCTCCAAGTCCTCCTTAGTACATTTTAGACTCAATTACTTTGTGGCCTTCTCTCCCATTTCATCGTGGTCCCCATCGCTGGCTTTCTATTCAGTCCCTCCTGCTGTTGCTCTTGGTGGTTTCAGAACCATCTCATGTAGGTTTATACATTCCGTAGTTGTCACCTTCCCAAATAACTTTAGGTTCATCCTGTAATCAGCAGCCCCAACATTTGTCAGAATATAACTTTCTTAATACTTGTGTGTATGCCTTTATAACTCAAATTGGTTGTATGTGTTTGTCTATAATTTATGTTTGTAAATTTTTTTCTTTTTAAATTTTTTTTGGTGCTCTTTTAAAAAACATTCCTGTCATTTCCCAATGACTCATCTTGCCTCCATAGACCTGCTCCTCATAGCAAGTAATCCAATCAATCAAAACAAATCTACACATTGGCCATCTGAAAATGTATTCCTCATTCCACACCTGTAGTCCAATATTTCTTTGCCAAGAAGGGGTAGGCATGCTTCATTATTAGTTCTCTGAAGTTCTGACAACTGGACACTGTATTGTTGCATGTTCTGAAGTCTTTCAGTGTTGTTTTCCTTTACTCTGTTTTGGTCATCATGTAAATTGTTTACCTCATTCTGCTCAGTTCAACTAAACATTTCTATTTGAATATCACTTAATGTACTTAACATTCTAAAATGGCTCCCTTTTGATGGAATTATCTGTATTTGTCTGAATGTAAGCAGAAGAAGAAGAACTAGCAAAAAAAAACTACTAGGAAAGTAATGGGTTTGATAGCAGAAGACCTGCCATTCACATCTCAGTTCAACAACTTAGTATTAGTGTGACATTGGGCATTACTTTTTTTCCTTGGGGCCTCAATTTCTGCACTTGTAAAGTGAAGAGGTCAGACCAGATGAAATCTAGGTTTGCTTCCAGATCTAAATCTGTGAAAAATTCTATAATCCTACCAAACACCCTGAATGCTATAACTTCTCTGTTCTTGAATAATAAAATACCTTTTCTTTAAAATATAAGTATCAAATGCTATTGCCACCAGTTTTAGGAATTAATTCTTTTAATTCAGTTTAGTGAACTCCAAGAGAGAACTTAATCCATATATTCCATGATCACCTGACTCCCCAGTCAAAATGTACTTTCTAGTCTACTAGACTGCCCCAGTAGACAACTTTGTTTCATGAGGATAAGAACCATTAAAATCTGTGTTGGACCTAATGTTTATTAATTTATGAAGATTTATGAATAAATTACAGCTACTTAATATGAAGGCCACTTCACATAGTGGTTAGGATGCTGGTTTTGGAGGTGGGAAAACCATTTGTTCAAATCCAGCCTCTGACACTGTATATGGAATCTTAGGCAACCACCACGTTTCTCAGACAACTCTCTAGAACTTATCTGATAAATTATCATGATAAATTGATTATTTTCTGGGCTAGTGAAAAGAATCCCTATAATGATGAAATCATAGATTCTGTCAGAAATTCCATATAATATTGGAGAGAACAGGCTCACAAGAAGAAAGATGTCAATGACTACAAATCACATTAAAATTATATTGAAGGAGGATAGAATTTTCAAGTGGAAAGAATTAGTGAATGCAAAACAAAATAAAAAAATAATGTGCTGGTCAGTACAGCTTCTTATTTTGATTTTCCCAGGTCTAGTACTGCAGCTGTAACCTAAGGAATTGAAAATAAAGAAAAAATAAGATTTAATAGGAAAAGTGGTCCCCTATTTACCTTATTTAAAGATTAAAACTCAGTCATTTGAGTGTGCTGAGGTCCTTCAAGTGGATCACACTGGTAGCCTCTTATACAAAGGACACAGTGGAACTGTGGGAGTGGAACATAAATGGTACTGTGATATCTTGCTGAAGCTTAGAACAGTCTAGGCCAATGTTTTGATCAGTACTCAATTCAGATATGTCAAGACAATAGTGATGCGTTATGACACTTCTATAACATTCACAGTAGAGACTGCAAATGGGACCAGAGGGAGCTTGAGAAGAGACAGAGAAAAGTACTATTTCTAGTTTTCCCTTCTTCTCAATCATGCAATCAATAAACATTTATTAAACACTTACTATGTGTCAGGGACTGTGCTAAGCTTCTTTATGTGAATAGAGATATACCTCTATTCTTAAGTGAATGACAGTTTTTTGAATAATGCAGTACCTAACCAGATTTATTTCAGCCTCATTTGACCTGTTAGAATGGTGGTCATGACATAAATGAATCTCTTCTCCTCTTTGAGCATCTGGAATTCTTACCTGGGTGGGAAGTCCTGTTTGACTAATGTCAGGAAGGAGCAGAATGGTTACCAGAACTTGTGATAGTGTCTGGTTTTCCTAAATGTTCAGATGGTATTTAACTATTTTGCATGCTATAAATCTAACAAAAAAGAAGGGTAAACTCAGACAGTTTCAATAGTATCTTGCTGAATGGACATCCAGATCCCTCTGCTCATACCTCCCAAGAAATTTTTTTTCCCCATAAAAGTCCTTGGTCTTGGCCTCTTACTCTCTCATCAGTTTTTCTTGTGATAGCCTACCCCAAAACAGACCAGATCTAACTAATGAAAACAGTTCTGGTTCAAAAATAAACCTTGAGGGAATGAGCTATTGTTGTTGAGACTGGCTCACATGTCCATAGTTTAAGTTTAACATTAATAAATCAGATTAGCTGAAGGTCACAAGCAGTCCACTGCCCTTCTTTCAAGGCAAGGGACAAAATGTTGTAAAGTATGCAGTATATCTTCCCTAAGCCTGATGTATTTATAGGCACCAGTCTTAGATAAGTATGGTGGTCCTCGATACTTCAAAACTTGTATACTAGTTCACATTTCTGCTTACATTCTATCTTTTATGGCCACACTATACACTACTGAAATTTTCATATTCTGAAGTTACATTACACTATTTAATCAGTTCTCCTTCTAGTCCTTGAGGGAATACTATTCTTTACTATTGAGGTTCTAGGCTCTCCTTAGTTTTATTAAAAAAATATGAATAAGGACTAGACTTGTGGTTTCATTAGTACAGAGAACTCCTAGGTATGGAAACTCTCTCTACAAATACAGGCCAACACCTCCTGTGCTACTTAGAGTCTCACAGAATGGGCTAGAGCACTAAGAAATGGAGTGAGTTGCCCAGGGTCACACAGTATATATATTTCCAAAGTTGAACTTTAACTCAGGTATTCATAGAGTACATGATCTACAACATATTGTGAGGATCTTCTATGAAAGATTTGTGAGAAAACATGACAAAGAATAACACAGGATGAAAAATTGTGTGGGGGTGAGACTAAACAGTGATGAAAGACAGTGATGGAATTCCTATCAATAAAGCAAACCATGAACACATAAAAGGACTGAAATAAAAACATGATTCTTAGAGAAGATATCCTCTTACAATAAAGAAATAAAGTTCTCTGCTTTTACTTAACCTGGCCTAAATATTAAAAACAACAGCAACAACAACAACAACAAATAAGTATTTTGAAGTATCAAAATGCTACTGAATTCCAGTTTCTTATCAATAAAAGTCTGAATCAATATAAGTTGAATTCCCCTAAAGAATGAAGGACTTGTGGTCAAATAATAACTAGAGTCTCATTTTGATAATGGAAGCCACACTTTTAAAAAGAATAAAAACACAAAATATAAGAAGGCTATTTGATTTCATTAGCCTTGGTGTGGGAAGACCCAACAGCAGTTCAAATAGCAATTGAGAGAGAGAGAGAGAGAGAGAGAGAGAGAGAGTTGAGTAAGCTTTGTAGAGATTCAGTGACTTGCTCTGTGTTACACAGCTACTGTCAGAGGTATTTTAGCCCAGACTTTCCAGTCTCCAAGTACGGTACCCTAGCTGATTTATCCACTTTGTTGTGCTGCTGTATCAAAATAAAGCAAAACAGAAAAAAACAAACCCAGAAATACAATCTTAAAACTTGCCTGGTCTGTAACAACCTCCCCTTCCCCCATATGATACTCTGTTCTATACCTCTCTAAAGCCCTTATCTGGTAATACTGTGTATTATAGCTATGGCATTTGTGTCTTGCCCACCCCCCTACGTTATCTAAGTTTTATTACATGCCCACACACACACACACCTCAGAACACAGTGGACATGTAATAAATGCATTCGTATTCATGTTGAATGAGCAAAAGTAAGGATTAAGAATTATCAACAACAAAGACATTAATGCCTTGCCATTATCAGTAAAGGCTCTGGGTGTCGCTATTCTACCAAGGACTGAAAACAGGCACCAAGAGATACTCTCCAGGGTTATGCTGATAGAACAGGATTGACTTTAAACAATACAAGCTGAATGTGAAGGAGCAATCTCAGTGACTGGAGTGGGCTAAAACCCTAATCCCAGAGATCAGCCTTGGGGGCATAGAAACGAAAACAAAACCGGAAAAATAAAGGCATATCTTCGAAAAAACAGGAGGTGGCACATCCTGAAGATGACAAAGGGAGTTCGACCGAGGCTCCGAGACTGCAAGGGGCAAATCCTGCTTTGCTTTCTCTTGGGGACCCTGTGGGAGGCCGGGTCCGGACAGATCCGCTACTCGATTCCCGAGGAGATGGAAAAGGGCTCTTTTGTGGGAGACATCTCGAAGGATCTGGGGCTGGAGCCACAGGAACTGTCCGAACGCGGAGCTCGCATTGTCTCGGGAGGTAAGAAGCAGCATTTCACTCTGAATTTACAAAACGGTCACTTATATGTCAGTGAGAAAATAGATAGAGAGAGAGCATGTGGACAAATCCCTCAGTGTCTGATGACTCTCCAGGTTCTCATGGAGGAGCCAGTAAAGCTGATACAGGCAGAAGTGGAAATCTTAGATATAAATGATAATTCGCCCACCTTCCCTGTGGAGGAAATTTTGTTAGAGATCAGAGAAATAACCTCGCCAGGGGCCCGCTTTCATCTCCAGGATGCGCAGGATCCCGACATAGGCAACAATTCTCTCCAGAATTATCTACTTGGCCGCAGCACACATTTCAGCCTCAATGTGCAGACGAAAGCTGGTGGTACCAAATATGCTGAGCTGGTATTGGAAAAAGCTCTGGATCGGGAGGAGCAAGCTGAGCACCAGCTCCTCCTCATAGCCACTGACGGCGGGGATCCAACGAGAACCGGAGAAACCCAGATTCGGATCCGGGTGTTAGATGGGAATGACAATGCGCCCATGTTTCAGCGCTCTCTCTATGAGGTGAGCGTGCCTGAGGATGTACAAACGGGCACAGTGGTGGTCAAGGTGCAGGCCACGGACCGTGACGAAGGTTCCAACGCCGAGATAATTTATTCGCTAATAAAGCTCTCTGAGGCCTCTTCCCTGATGTTCCAAATCGGGTCCACTAGTGGAGAGCTCAGAATAGTAGGAAGACTGGATTTCGAGGCGGATCCGTTACATGAACTGGAAGTGCAGGCCATAGACGGAGGAGGACTTTCTGCACTGGCCCATATTTTACTTCGAGTGACAGATGTTAATGACAACCCTCCGGAAATCACCATCACTTCCCTTTTCAGTCCAGTCCCAGAAGACTCTCCACTTGGGACTATAATTGCCCTTTTTAATGTCCATGACAGAGATTCTGGAGAAAATGGGCAGATCCGGTGTGCGATTTCCAGACAAGTTCCTTTCGAGATTTCACGTTCATTTGATAACTATTACAGTTTGATATCCAGCGAAATACTGGACAGGGAGCAAATTCCAGACTACGATATCACTATCACTGCGGAAGACAGAGGGGATCCACCCCTGACTTCAAACCAAGTGATACAACTGCAGGTGTCGGATAAAAATGATAATCCCCCAGTATTTCACCAAAGTCACTATTTAGCTTATCTCACGGAAAACAATTCACCTGGAGCTACAATATCTTCTCCCAAGGCGAGTGATGCAGACAGCGAAGATAATGCCCGAATCATTTATTCAATTGCCAACGCGACTTTTCAGGGATCGCCTCTTTCTTCCTATATTTCCATCAACTCTGAGACAGGTGTCCTCTATGCTCTGCGCTCCTTCGACTATGAACAATTCAGGGAGCTACAGCTGAGAGTGACAGCTAGAGACTCTGGGGACCCGCCTCTCAGCAGCAATGTAGCCCTGACTCTGTTCATCCTGGATCAGAATGACAACGCCCCGGAAGTCCTGTATCCTGCTTTCCCTACAGATGGTTCTAGTGGGGTGGAGCTGGCCCCGCGCTCTGCAGAGCCAGGCTACCTGGTGACCAAGGTGGTAGCAGTGGATGGAGACTCTGGCCAGAATGCCTGGCTGTCCTACCGTCTACTGAAGTCCACAGAGCCCGGGCTCTTCTCGGTGGGATTGCACACGGGTGAGATAACCACTACCCGGGTTTTCCTGGATAAAGACTCCCTCAGCAAACTCTGATAGTAGCTGTCACAGACAATGGGGAGCCTCCTCTTTCTGCCACTATCAGTGTTACAGTTGCAGTGGCTGACAGTATCCCTGAGATCCTTTCAGATCTCAGCAGCCTAACGACCACTGAATTTCCAAATGACTCCAGTCTAACATTCTACCTGGTCATCGCAGTAGCTGCAGTGTCCTGCCTATTCTTTTCTTTCATTATCCTGTTATTGGCACTCCGGCTTCGAAGGTGGCATATGGAGCTTGGATCAGCAAGTACACATCTGGAAGGTGTTCAAGCCTCCCAGTTCCTGGGCATAGATGGAGTACAAGCATTCCTCCAGACTTATTCACACGAGGTTTCCACTACCATTGACTCTCGGAAGAGCCATTTAAAATTCTCAGCAAGTAATTCACAGGAATTTACCAGTAAGCAAAGATCTGATCAAAGAGAATCTATTATGTCTTGGGATGCCTGCAATAAAGCAAATGAAGAGCAAGCCTTCATTAAGGTGGGAATCTGCATTTGCAATTTTTAATTTTGGGAATTTTAATATTTTAGTGTGTTTCTCCATCAATGTGAAAGTATTCTCTTATGAAGATGATATACTCCATAGATCTATGTGTTTAATCGTGAAATAGTTTAAATGGGGCATTTGTGAAAAAGCCATGACAACAGTCTTCATTATATCTCACTTATGTCACTGCTTTAGAATTTTAGTGTAGAGTGTAGGTATTTTTAGACAGACACAAATCTTTTACTTTTTTATGACACAAGTTAGGCATCAAAAGGGAGAAATTATTAAAGGAAAATTATGAAGACAGGATTTGGTGAAATTTGTTTCTAAGGTGACAACATCATACTCAACAATCATTTACTCGAGTACCACTATGATAACAATAATTACAAGCATAGGTTTATATTTGTTTTACATCTGTGATAGCATTTGATGATCATTCTATGAGGAAGACAATGTGCTGTCAGTCCCACTTTTAAAGAGCCATAATTCATATTTATATAACACTTTAAGGTTTACAAAGCACTTTCCACGTAACTATGTGAGGTAGGTAGTAGTGGGTAACATTGCTACCATTTTATAAATGGGAAAATGGAAGCTTACAACATTAAAATTTATCCTATATAGTTATACATCTAGTACATGGCAGAGACTAGATTCTAACCCCAGATCTTCAGATCTCGTTGGGTACTATCTACAAGAGGACTGCTAGGTACTAAGTATCCAGAAAGATCTAAAATATTGCAACAATGAAGTCCCAATAACATTCATTCTTCATACATATAAGCTGGTCTTAGATCCCCAATCCTGACATATTCTGCATGCAGTGATCTCTCAAAATCAGCAAGAATCTTGAGATATTGAATACACTAGTGGCCAAAAGGGCACCATGGTCCATTGACTCCACACTTGGAGGGTGGACACTCAGTCTGATTGTCATTATCAAATTGAGTCACTGGGAGCATAGCTACCAAATTTAATGTGAAAAAAAGGAGATAATAGAGAGCCTCTTCACTTTTTCTCACAAAATTAGACGAAGAATACTTAAATATATTTGGCAAAGCTGAGTTTTCTGATCTACAATTTTAGTACTTTTTAGTTTAATGTGAAGAATAGGCCCCAGTGAGGGGGAAAGGAGTTTTTGGAAACAGATGGCTTCCTATATTGGCAAACTTGATAAGATGTCTGTCAAAAAGGCTGATTTCTTCTATTCACTCACAACCATACTGATCTCAAGTTGCTAGGGTTGTGCCAGCCATGAAACTTTTGAGCCACCCAATCTTTGACTGCAGCCATCATCAATGAGAAAACATGGTTCAGTACTAGAAAGTCTCATGTGAATGTCCTACTGTCAGAATAGTCATTCATAGGAGAAACTGAAGGAGATCCAATGATTTGAAAATAAAATATCTTCACCTTCATTGTACTAACCAAAAACTACTACAGACCTGATTAAGCTTAGACAATGAGCATTATAGCCTCTCTTTAAGTTTAATATTTTCTCCTTTTTTTCCCCTTCTATCTTCTTCCTTTGCACCTGTATTGCTGCACAAAAGGATGGGTTACTGAATGGGGCATGTTTAGTGAAAGGTATCATATTTTCTTTATTTTTGATAGGAATGTTTCCTATGTCCAGGAGGGACCTCTTTCTCAAGAAAGAGACTCACATATGAAGTTCATTCATTGGGGCAGCTAGGTGGTGCAGTGGATAGAGCACCAGCCCTGGATTCAGGAGGACCTGAGTTCAAATCTGGCCTCAGACACATAACACTTACTAGCTGTGTGACCCTGGGCAAGTCACTTAACCCCATTGCCTAAAAACAAACAAAAAGAATAGAAAAACTATAAACATAACAGATCATATTAATAAAAAACCAATATCATGATTAGGCGCAGCTAGGTGGCGCAGTAGATAGAGCACTGGCCCTAAAGTCAGGAGGACCTGAGTTCAAATCCGGCCTCAGAACAAACACTTGACACTTACTAGCTGTGTGACCCTGGGTAAGTCACTTAAGCCCAATTGCCTAAAAAAAATGAAGTTCATTCACTATAAATAATAATTATAATAATAGCAATTATTATTACTGTTATGTAGCTAACATTTTTACATACCTCTTACAATGTGCCAGGCATTGTGGCAAGTGCTTTACAAATATTATTGTATTTGATCCTCACAACAGTTCTGGAAGGTAGATGCTATTATTATGCCCATTTTACAGATATGGAAACTGAAGTTAAGTGACTTGCTCAAGGTCAAGCTAGTATTGATCTGAAACCAAATTTGAATCCAGGTCTTCCTGTCTCCAGGCCCAGTGTTAATCCACTGCACCACATAGCTGCTTAGACTGTAATATTTAAAATCAGTCTCAGGGGATATAACATTAAAGATATCCCAAGTATTGAAAGTTTACAACACTCTAAGGTCTGTGTCAGAGGCGAATAATTATTATATCTCCTTGCTTTGGAGAATTTGTTGTTCATTCCATCCCATTGTTATATACTACCCAGAAATCAAGGTCATTTGAAAAGATAAAGGTGGAAATTTTTTATGGGAAAGTTCTCAATAGACAACTTCAATGAAGATCTGTAAAATAGGTGGTGCCATTTTGACTATTCATTACTTACTTTATGATTGAAATGGAAAGAATCAAATCAGTCACACAGCATAGAAAAGATTATCCATTTTATGTTTAAGGGAATTCATTGAATTTGGCAGTTCTGATACACCATTAACAAATGCATCTTGAGTACTTTAAGGATCTCTGATTCTTCCGTGGTGGTATACTTTCACATGGACATATGGTTGTGCTGTTGTTCAGTCATTTAGTCATGTCCAACTCTTCATCACCCTGGGGACCATAGCACATCAATACTGTCCTTGGGGTTTTCTTGGCAAAGATACTGGAGTGATTTGTCATTTCCTTTTCCAGTGAATTAAGGCAAACAGACGTTGAGTGACTTGCCCAGAGTCACAAAGCTAGTGAATGTCTGAGGCCCCAGATTTGAAGTCAGGTCTTCCTGACTCCAGGCCCAGGGCTTCATTCACTGAGCTATTTAGCTCTCTCCACAGGTATGGTTTTACTTCTTGGTAACTTAGTAGATCATCTTTGTGAATCTGATATGGCCAAAAATCACTCTTGAAGCCAGTCTGATGCTAAGCTTCTCTGAACTTAACTAGATTGGGCCTCAGACATCCGCTCCATCACCAGTCTTTCCAACTTGGTAAAACCCAGCAGAATTTTCAGAGCATTTGAGAAGCCCAGGATCATCTCTCTCTACACTATCAAAACTTTAAAAAGAATAAAGCATCTTGAAGATTAAGGTGGATGATTTTATGCCTATTATTTATTAAGAATCTCACAACTTCTAACATGCAGAACAAATCATTGTATGTGAAATGTTTTCAGAAATGGATGAAATTATGGCTATACACTCTGGATTTTGCTGTTTACCAATGAGGAAGAAGAATGAACCAAGACCAAAATCAACTTTCTTCACTACAATGGCATCAAATAAAAGGCATAATAGTTCCCAAGGAACTAAATTAAATAAATCTAAAAGCACTTATTAAGTGTTTTCTGTATGCCAGGAATGAGATAGGTATGGTCAGAAGAAATAATTTATCTTTGTCTCCTCTCAGTCAGGAATATATAACAAATGGGAAACAGAAGAATCATGGTAAGAGAACTGTTATTCAGATTTTAAAATAGATCTTCAAAGTGGGAAAGTTAATGTTGAAAGCAGCTTAGATTTGCAAGATGAATTATAAGCATTAGAAGTTCAAGCTAAAAACATCAGTGAGTTGTTGACAAAGTTTGACCTTCTTAGACAAGCTATTGAGAAAATCTCAGTTTCATATGCAATCTTCTTTTTTCTGTTCTTTATGTATAGAAATGTTCACTCCTTTTCTGATGTTGCTAGTATTTGTCAAATTCAGAATAACCAAAATAATTTTTAAAATAGACTACTGATAAAGAAAAGAGAGAAATTATGGAAGATAAATTAATTTATGTAAAACTTGATATGAGGCCCATTAAACAGGATCCAGAGAGAATTTAAGGTTGAAACTTGGAGTACAATGATCATTTAAAGACTGAAGGGGATCTGTTAATATTTGTATATAACAAATTATTTTCTACATCAATGACAATGGAACCACCACATTTAGACATCACCTTATGAAAAAGTCAAAATGGCACTACAGAAAACAATTGGTAGAACATCTGGGCTAGAAAAAGCAGTCACATTGGAGATCTGTTTCAGTGTATCTAGAAGAGCAGAACATACCAAACAATTGGGAAAAAATCACTTATGTTATGACTATTGAAAATAGTCTAAAAGACATCAGATTCTACTGACCCAGAAACCTATATGTGTGTGTGTCCACACACAAACATATATATAAATGCACACACACATATGTGAAGATACTGAACTACTAGAAAATGTCATTGATTTTGTGATCATTAAGAGTAATTGGTCTAGGAGGCAGCTAGGTGGTGCAGTGGTTAGAGCACTGGCCCTGGAGTCAGAAGGACCTGAGTTCAAATACAGCCTCAGACAATGGACACTTACTAACAGTGTGACCCTGGGTAAGTCACTTAACCCCATTGCCTAGCAAAAAAAAAAAGAATTTGTCTAAAGGCTATCAATTTCTACTAACTCAGATATCTATACCTACATATATACATGTAAATGGACATATACAAAAATATGGATATATGTATATATCCCTGTATGTGTGCATATATGTATACACATACACATACACACACACACACACACACACACACACACACGCCCACACTCACACACATACCCATGCACTTAGAAGTATCATGGCATAGTGGATAGAGAGCCAGTCACAGAGACATGCTGACTGTGTGACCCTGTGCAAATCATTTAACCTCAGTGTTCCAGTTTCTAAGAAAAGAAAGTGCCAAGCTACAATGTTAGAGAAAGTTCCTTCTCTTAGGATTTCCCTATATTAATGAAACCTCAGTCCCAGTCCCTATCAATATGTGTTGCATGCTATATATCATACATTAAATATGTGTATGTTAATTATTATATTTTATTGATACATTTTTTGCTTTGTGCACAATAATCTCTTACAATAATCACTTTCTACTCTTATAGTCTGCCATTTCTTAATATGAATGAAAAAAGTGTGTTATAACAAGTAATCCAGCATTGGTCATTGTATTTGACCTAAAATCTTTTGCCTTTTAGGGTGAATAACTAGGCTTTTTCAAATGATATTTCCACAGTAGACCATATTTTTACAGTCATACAATTTCCTAACAGGTGATAATAACATATATTTAACATTCATTGATATAATTTGATTTGATAGAGTGAAATGCATCCTTAAAGATTTCTTTCTCAAAGACCAAGCCTTAAACCCAATTCACTCTGAATTTCTTAGATTGGATAACAAATATGTCCCTGCCCAAGCACTACTTAATGCTTATTTTTTGGGCCCTTCTGGCTCAGAGTGAATGCAAAAAGTTAACTGTTTCTCTTTTGTCTGGTAACTCTGAGGTTCTTTCCCTTACCAGTTTGATTTTTTTTTTATTAAAGGGGCCATCCCTTGACTCACTTCTTAAAGAGGCCTGTTCCCTGAATGGACATTACTTCAGTGAGAACCTGAAAAAACCTTAGCTTAAAAGGTCCAGTGTCTCCCATTGCAACCTGAGCCATCTCCACTTATCCTGATGAATATCTGGCCACTGGACCCAGATGGCTCTGGAGGAAAAAGTGAGGCTGGTGACCTCGCACAGCCCTCCCTCACTCAAATCAAAGTCAATTGCAAGTCATGGCATCATCTCCCTGATGTCATGGTCCTCTTCAAGAACAAAGGACAAACACAACAACTTCAAATATTTCCCATGCATATGTTAAGATTGTGCAATATGCCTAGATAGAAGAAACATCAGAATTAACTTTGTTTAATGATTTTTTTGGTCTTGGAAAAGCAAGGCATAAGCTTAGGAGAGGCATCAGCTATTGTCAGAGAAGATGTCCAGAACCCAATTGGAAAACTTATTTCCTAGTGATGATGAGGTAATTTAAGAGCTACTATTTCCATATGGCATTGTGTCTACCGAATCAAACACTAGTGTATTGAGTCATCTCCCAAATAAAATACAAAATTTTATTTTTAATTCAAATTATTCAAAAATTGGCCAAACCATTCATACAGGGAAAACCTAGAGGATGAAAAATTCCCATTGTTCAGATTATAATATTCAGTTGGATGAATTGATGCATCCATCAATACAGTAGCCCATGGAGCTATTGTAACATAATGTGTATCTTGGGCAATAATAATTAAAACATTACCTTATACTGACATAGTGTTTCAAAGTTTGCAAAAATGATTTGTGTATATTATCATATTTGATAGACAATGACTGAACCTTGAATTAAATTGGAGCAAGGAAGCAAGTTGGAGTGCATCTGGGAAACCACAGTGAATAAAATTTCATCTTTTTAACCTCAATATTTTTCTAGTGATGCTATTTAACTGCAAATCATGGAGTAGTTAAAATTTCAGGTTACCAAAAGGGTAATAAATAGAGACATTATAAATAAGCTAAATCATATTTTGAATGATGTATTGCATTCATAAAAGGTTAGAAAGAGATCATCAAAAATATGTAATGTCAATAAAGGAGATAAATTATTCAAATAAAAGTTAGGGATAATATGTGCACAGTTGTCATATAGGATTGGGTTCCACATGATATCAAGAAATGAGAAGAAGGCCCTTAGTATGGTGGATGGATCATCTGAAGACCATTTACTAGATTAAACAAACAGGATTAGAATGCATTTATGCCTTTAAATCTACTACATCGATGAGATCATGGATCCACTAAGTACTGAAGTAAATAAACAGATGTTTGACCAGGAGACACAATCTTAGTATAACCATATCATTTCTTCCTGGCATTTCAGCTCTCTCATACAATCTTCCACCAAAACTCTGCCTGTATTTTTTTTATTTGTTTTTGCATTATTTGTATTTATGAATATATTCTTTGACTCTCCTCTACCCATCATAATAAATAATAATGAGAGAGAGAGAGAGAAATATCAACTGAGTCTAACATGATATGGAAGATTACACAAATATAAGACACATATACCCTTTCAAGCTCTGCAAAAAAGAGAGTAAATTATAATTCAAAACAATTTTGAGGTCTGATCTCACACTAATCAAATATAATAAATATATGAATAAGTGGTGGAGAGGTTATGGAAATACAGGCACACTGATACATTGTTAGTAGAGCTATGAAACTTGTTTAAACAGTATGAAAAGCAATTTTGAATTATTCTAAAAAAGTGAGTAAAATATTCAAAATTATTGACCCAGAGGCCCTACTGTTGGTCATATGCCCCAAGGAAGTCAAATATTAAAAAGAATGTCTCACCTAAACCAAAATACTTATAATGCCTTTCTTGTAGTAGCAAAGAGCTGGAAACAAATTAAGTACTCATCAATTGATAAATAGATAAATAGTGGCACATTAATAATAAAAATAGTATTGTTCCATAAAAAATAACAAATATGAAGATTAAAAAAGGCTAAAGACATATATAAACTGATGCACAATTTATCTAGCAGAACAAAGAAAACAATATATAAAATGACTACAACCATGTACATGATAGAAAAAATAAAATCAAAATTCTGTGTAATTATGATGACCAAACTCAGCCCTGAAGAAGTGGTATCAGAATGAAACTCCCTTCATTCTTTGAAGAGATGGGGACAAACCTGAATGTATTATTGAATTCTGTTGATGTTAGTTTCACTGAGCTGGGTTTTTTTTCCTTTCTCTTTCTTCATTCTTTGTGATATGGAATTTTCCCCCTCTGAGAAAAGAAGGGGAGGGTTATATTGGTAAATAAAAGTGACAGAAGAATATGTCTGTAAAATATTTAAAGAAAAAATACAGCAAAAAAGGAAGTGGTTGGTGGAGGACAGGATATATTTCTTTCAGATAAAAAAAAATCTGCGTGGGGCTGGAATTGTTTTTATGGTTTAGATAAGGGCAATCCCTATCTAATAAATTATACTACTGCTTTCTATGAGATTTACCTTTGTGTTTAACCAATGAGATCTATTAGATAATGAAATATGAAAGTATTTGTGGCAGTAGCATTGCAAAATAATGCCTGGAGCCCAGGGAAATGAAGGCTGAGAAGAGGTACAAAGACAATACAGGGAGAAGATACATAAAATTTTAA